GAGCGTGGCGGCGAGGCGCGCCGCCGCGTCGCGCTCGCAATCGGTCGACGCCGGGAGCACGAGCAGCGTCGTCGGCTCGGTCGACGGCGGCGCGCGCCGAAACGCAAGCTCGTCGGGCGCGCGGACAAGCCAAATCGAGACGCCGCCCGCGCCCACGTCGACCGTCCACACCTCGGGCATCTCGTCCGCGTCGGCTCCGCCGCCGCCGAGCGCGCCGCTGCTCGCGCCGCCCGCGCCCCCGCCGGCGCCTCCGCCGGCGCCTCCGCCCGCGCCCCCACCCGCGACCGCGCAGCCGACGCCGCAAGCGCTGCACTCACCGACGCCGTCTCCGGGGTCGCAGCAGTCGCTCCCGTTGTTGTTGCAGCTGACGCCGTCCCCCGCGCCCGCGGCGCGTCCCGCGAGCAGCTCCTCGAGCTCACGCTTCACCTGCGACGGACGAGGAGGCGGCAGGTCGAGGTGCGTGGCGTCCGGAGTCTGGGGGGAGGGCACATGCATGTACGTGTATGATCACCCGCTGCGGCAAGGAGGTGCGCGGGCGCCGGCGCTTGTGGTGGCGCGGCAGGGGCACTGCGCGCGCGCGCGGCAGGGTGCGGGGGGGGGGCGCTGGGGCGTCTTCGCGAGGGCTCTCTGCCTTGCCGCTCGCCTGGCGCAGGCGGCCGAGGCGCGGCGTGGAGTCGTACGACGAGGACGGGCAGCAGACGTGCCGCAGCACACCACCCGTGAGGTGCAGAACGCCCTCGCCCTCGAGGAAGCGGGCGCCGTCGGCGGTCGCCGTATAACGCCGAACCGGCATGATGACGATGTTCGCGAGAGGCGGCACTCGCAGCGGTAGTGACGCCGCTGCGCCCGCCGGGCGCAGCGGCGGCGGCGGAGGCCCGCCAGGCTGATTGGAGTGATTGGTGGGCAAAGTGTGCTGCAAAGAGTGGCGAGGCGGGGGCGAGACATCCTCCTCCGAGTCGGAAGAGGAGGAGGCGCCGTCGAGCAGGTTGGATGGCATCCTCAAGGGTGGCGTTCTAGTTCACCACCATGAGTGGCCGGCCAGTCCAAAAAGAAAAAAGTCGGCCGCGGTGGTTTTCATAACATCGAAGGCTAGCTCAAAAAAAATTAATTATTACCCAAGGAGTACGCTGTTGGATTCCGAGCGTGGTGTCCCATGACAAGTTCGGCTGCGGGCCGAAAGTGGAAAGACAAGATTGTCCCTTAGTCGACAGCACCCGCCTTTGGATGTATATTTTTTGTCTTTTTGGTTCGCATGGCTAGAGGTTGGCCTGTCTGGTAAGCCCCAGCCACTCCGCTGTGAACACCGAGGCGCGAGGGCCTCGGTCTTGCTCCCTGCTGCTCGGTGTACGAACTCTGTTCACACCGAGCAGCTGGGAGTGGCTGCGGCTATGAGCAGACAGGAGGTTGGCCTCCCACCGTTGTGAACATAGTCTGGCCCGAAGAAGCCGCTCGTCTCTTGTCCGGGCAAACGCGCACTTTCGGCGGGGTTCCCGGGGAGGCCGGCGCCAGGCCGCAGGCGCCAGGCGCAGGCCGGGTCCGTGTGCGGCGCCCCACCAACCGACCAAGCAACAACGGGCAAGCCACAACGCTCAACGGTCATCAACGCACTCAACATGTGGAGGGTGCCATCGTCGGCGGACTACTGTGGCTTGCCAACATGACGCGCGTCGACATCGCTTATTCCGCATCTCAGCTCGCTCGCTTTATGACCAACCCAGGCCCGTCGCATTTTAAAGCCGCCATTCGGGTGCTAATCTACGTGCGCGACACAGCTGACCGCGCCCTCGTCATGCAGCCGAACCCCGACCGCAACCTTGAAAGCTACGTCGATTCGAACTGGGCGACGAGATTCTCTTGCTCCGGTGGCATGTTCTTCTTCTACGGATGCCTATTCCACTGGTTCTCCAAAATGCAGCGTTCCGTCACACTATCTAGCGCCGAGGCAGAATTCTTCGGCGCCATGCTAGCCGCCAAGGAGGTGATTTTCATCCGTGAGCTACTGATCGACCTTGGATTTTCCATCGACGGCGCCAGCATCATCAACTGCGACAGCAAATCCGCCGTCGGCATGGCCTTCGATGTCACCCACGCGCACTGGGCCTTGCACTGATAATGCGGCCGGTGCGCGGGGCTCCTCTGTCGTTTTCAAATAAAAAGTACACACACCATTCAGGCATCACCACCAACACATGGTAGCATATTTCTCGTAACGCGCTGTGCTAGATAACACCAAAAAAGGCACAGGCACGCGCGCTCTGTGACATGCATGTGCGCGCGCAGACCGCGGCAGATCTGCAGACCAGAAGCAGAGCCCAGTGCCCAGGAGAGAGACCAGACCAGACAGGCCAAGAGTCCACGACGCGCACATGGCAGAGCGTGGGAGCCGAGAACGCGAGAGTACGCGCGGCCACCGCCACGGCCAACTAGTGGAGAGCGAATGCACGCCCCCGCCTGGCCAAAGGGTAGGAGAGAGAAGAGAGTACGGGCGGCGGTGTCAGCAGCATGCGGATGTCACGGCGACGAAGGCGAGATCTCGGAGGAGCGCCGACACCGACGGCGGCGGATCCGGCGGGGCGGCGGATTGGTCTTGGGTTATCTGGGGTGGGACTGCTAGGCGTCCTCTTTGAGCGCCACGACCAGATTGGCCTGCCACTCATCCAGGATAGTCGCATTGGTCACTCCGTCTCGCGGCACATCCAAGTCCACAAAAGCTGGTGACGTCCACGCGTCGAGCGCTGCGTCATCACCCTTGGCTACACCCACAATGACATCATGGACTTGCCCGATGATCACCTCAGATCCGTGATGCACACCTGGCAGTTTGTAGACCTTGACAGTGCTCTTCCAACGCTCGCAGACGGACAGACTGTCAGAATGGACCGTCCCGTCGCCATCTCCGATTTCGACCGAAGCTCCGATGTCTGCGAAGACCCCCCCTGCGGGGAAAGTGAGGTGGGAAAACGTGCGCACGTTATGGCTGTAAATGCAGTGCGTCGGGACACCAGGATCTTCGGTCGACCCGACGGACAAGGCATATTTCATCCGCTCCGCCTCGTCGTCCATGAGCAGCCTCCTGAACAGAGATGGCAGGCCGGAAGCCTTGATCTCTTCTGGCTGCGCCCATGGCCCATGTTGGAGCGTGACGTAGCTTCTGTTGGGTATGGAGTCGTCCACGCCCGGCGACATCCAGTACAAGGATGGAAACTCGCGGAGGAGCCGCGTGATGTCCGTGAGGAGCCAATCCATGAGCAGCTCCTTCAGTACAGCCCCAAACCCGTCCACGACTTTTATCACAAAGTGTTCCTCGCTCACCTGCTCGGCCATAGGTGGGTCGCACAAGGGGCACGTGAACTTGGTAGCGCCTGCCTGGCCCGGCGGCGTGTAGGCAAAGGCGACGCCGCCCATCAGTGCGGAAAGGGCATTAACTGCGCCATTGAAGGGGCCTGCGACCGGCACGAAGGCGTGCACGTTCTTTTGCACCCAACTCTTGCCCCCGCGCTTTGCGTTTGCCCATCTCAGGAACGCGTGCGTGAACGGAGCCGCCATCGAAACGCCAGTCAGCACAACCGGCTGACCATTCTTCGACACCGCGTCTGAGATTGTCCTGAAGAAGCGAGGGAAGGCTTCTTGCTCCCAGTCGGCTACGGATAGCCGCCAGTCGTAGCCCATCGGGAGGATATCGACGTCTCTGACAAACCCTTCGGATTCCAGCCGTTGGGTTAGGTTGCCGTACAACTCAAACCCGTAAACCGTCAAGCCATCCCAACCCTCGGCAACCCTCACCTGGACATGCTCCGGAGACTTGGTGCGGTTCGTCGTCGGGTCAAAGGTGAGTCCCAGCTGCGCGTGGGAACTGTGAAACGCACAAACTGCGGCCAGCTTGTCCAAGTTCACCCACGCCGTCGTCCACGTTGGCGTCCACGGACTGCACGGGTTGAGCCATCGCGCATCGTTGACTTGCAGCGTCTGTCCTATGAGTGGGCCCACGACCACCACTGGGTGGCGAACGCTGCTCCTCTCGTCGACGAGGAGCGAGGAGGGCGATGTTGCGCCGAGCGCGAGGAAGGCGATCACGCCGAGCACGAACAGTTGGACCGTCGACGGGAGTTGGCGGGACTGCGGTGGGTCCAGCATCGAGCTCGGTTGTTGAAGCCGAGATCCCAGAAACCAGCCGTTGTGAAGAGCTGGGGCGCGCCACCCAAGAGTAGGCCGGTCGCTCCCCCGTCTTTGGGCCCCTTTGAGTCGTTTTTATTAAATGAACTCGGGGGCACAGGACGCGGTACAAACGGGGTACACCAAAAGGCACAGGCTGCCTGCACGGCGTTCACTCGAACGCCATGCACATGGCGCGGAGCAGCATCGGGTTGGTGTCGAACCCGAGCGGGTCCTCCTCCCAGTCCCGGTGCCCACCCTCCGCGTCATCCTGCTCATCGTGCGCGTCGAGCACCCTGCCGAGGCACAGGACCGTCCCCTTGGGAACGCCTGCCCCTCGCGCGCGCGGGAACTCTCCCTGCACCGCCATCACGAACTTCTCGCGCGCCCACTTGCCGCCACGGCGGCAGTGCTGGGGCGCGCGCTCGCGCAGCTCCTCGTAGAGCTCCTCGGCCCTCGCCACCTCCGCCGCCCAGCCCTCCGCTGACGCCTGAGCCGCCTTCTTCTCCCTGAGCGTCTTGAACACCGGCGGCGGCGCCGGCGATGGCGCCACCTCCGGCTCGCCCGCCGCCTCTGCAGCGCGCCGCCCCTTCCTCGCCTTCTCCTTGAGCCGCTTCCTAGCGCTCTTGGTCAACGCCGGCGCCGCCGCCGCGGCCTCGCCGGCCGCCGCACCGGCGATGGATGTCGAGGATGATGAAGGTGATGAAGCCGTTGTCGCGTTGCAAGCGGGGCGGAGAGTGTCGAAAAAAGAAGTGACCCTGTCCGTTGTGCCAGCGCAGCCTGGCGCAGACGCCAGGCCGCGCAGGGGCGCGGCCAATGCCGCAGCCTCCCCGCTGCCCGTTTCGGGCTCCTCCTCCTTCGCCGCCTCAGCCACCTCTGCCGCCGCCTCCGCCGCCGCGCGAGCCGCCGCCGCGCGAGCCGCCGCGCGAGCCGCCGCCGCGCGAACCGAATCGCGAGCCAAGATCTTGAACTCCCTCTCGCGAGCCGCCGCGCAGACTTCCGCCCAGGAGCGCACGTCCCGGCAGCAGCGCACGTCCCGGACATCGCCACCATCCCGGCCGCGACGCGCCTCGATGTCCTCATACGCCCGCACTGTCGCCATCGCCGACGCCAGCAGCAGCCGAATCGCTGCCCCATCGAGGAGGCAGGGTTCGTCGTATCCGGCGGGCCAGATTGTGGCGTATCCGCGGGCGCATATCACGCCGCAAGGCCCGACACTCAAAGGGTCAGGAGGCCGGTAGGCATGGATGAAGGCCGCTGATGAAGATGATGAAGCCGTTGTCGCGCTGCAGGCGGGGCGGAGAGTGTCGGAAAAAGAAGTGACCCTGTCCGTTGTGCCAGCGCAGCCTGGCGCAGACGCCAGGCCGCGCAGGGGCGCGGCCAATGCCGCAGCCGTTCCGGAAGTTGAAGTTGGCGCATCACAAAGAACCCAAATCCAACCCTGCCAACCGAGCAAGCCCATGTGGGACGCGAGGTCTTGCTCCACCTTCTCGGCGCTCGCGTCGCCCAACCTGAGAGCCTCATCCGCCATGCCGGGGCACATCTTGACCGGAGCCGGTCACATGTCCATCGTGCCCAAGACGGGGCACGGTCGACTCGACCGCGGCCGATGGCACCGGCCCAACGGCCGACCAAGATTTTACGCCTCCGAACGCCGGGCCGGTGAGGTGGCGGGTCGGGCGACACGGAAAATCGGTGGCTGACAACGACTTTTTGAGGCCATCGGTTTGAGGTCTGCAGACATTTTCTGGATGATCTCGCATTTCCCGAGGCGTAATCGCAGATCCAGACGGCCCAGCAGGTGGGCGCTGCAGGCGAGCCGCCTCACATCCTTCGCCCCCCCCGTCGCTCACGCTGCCTCTGAAGCACCGGACCACCCCCCCCGCGCCCAGGCGGCCTAGCTGCCGCGGGCTCCACCCACGCGGGCCACCATCAGCGCCGCCCGACGGCTCAGAACCTCTCTCTTTAGGTCCCACAAAGGCGGCGAGCGAGCGGCGAGGCAGATGAATCGAGCTCTGGACGCATGCCGCGAGAGCTGTGAGGGTCGCAGCTCGGCCTCCATCTTGCCCGGTAGTGGCGCGTCGGCTTGCCGGCTCACGGGGGTCACTGCCCCTAGGTGCCGCCTCACCTCGCCTCTATGCACCCTTCACCCTCTAGCGCCTCACCCTGCCCGGTGCCGTGGTAGTGGCGATGTCAGCCATGCTGGACCGGCGGCAGCGAGGCCGACGGGCGTGGCTGCGGCGACAACGGCGGCTTGGCCCGTGACGGCGACGGCGCTGACGGCAGAGCAGCTGCGGCCGGCACGGGCGGGTGCGGCCGAGCAGCGCGGCGCTCACAGCAGGCGGCCGGCGTGGCGGCGGCGACGGCGCCGCACGAGGAAGCGGTGGCGCAGCCGCGCATGACAGGTCCGGCGCGTGTCGAGCAGCGAGGTGGCGCGCCGCGCTGCCGACGCGCCCCCAGGCCGGAGGCGGCCGCCGCGTGCCGAGCCGCCGGCTGTTGGTGCTTACAGTCTGCGGCGGCGGCGCCGCCGCCGCCGTGGAGCGAGGCAGCGGCGGCGGCGGCGGCGGCGGCGGCGGCGGCGGGGGATGCGGCGGCTGCACGTTGTGCCTCGAGGCGTCGCTCGCGGCGCTGGTGCGGCGCGTGGTTGGCTGACGAGGTTGCGCGCGCACGGCGCTCGAGGGTGTAGTCACGTCCCTCGGCTCTCGCCACCGCTGTCGCCGCGCGCTCCGCGTTCGTTGTCGCCGGCGCTGCCCGCCTCGAGCCACTGCGGCCACTGCCGCGCGACGTTGCGCCGCGCCACGCTGGCCGTCGCTCTCTCGACGTTGTGGAGGAGGCTCTGTCCCACGTCGAGAGGAGGCGTTCCCGCGGTGATATTGACCCAGCTCTGTTGTCTCTAGGCTGCGTCGGCACGGGAGGCGCTGCGGGCGGGAAGGTGGAGCGGGCTGCGGAGCGGCAGATTAGTGGCAGTGGCGACGGGCGGGGCGGCAGCGAGCAGGGTGGCGAGTGAGACGTTGGAGAGGCGGGGCTGGGGAGGCTGGTGCCGGTGCCACTACAGGCGGTGCAGGTGCGGTGTGCTACTGTAGTGCTCGCTCACCGGAGCGAGCGCGGCGCTCGGACCGTCCTGGCAAGGGCCGCTGACCAGGACGGTCGCCAGGAGTCGGCTTGCACCGCGAGAGCGGCGAGGCGGGGGGAGAGGCCTGGTGAGGGTGTCAGCGGTGGTGCGTGTGTTAGTTAGGGGGAGAGGCGCGGGCCGGGGGAGCGGGAGGGGGTGGGGGGGTGGAAAATTTCGATACCCTAAGGTGCCCTGGTGATCCTGGGTTAGTATCGTCTCTTCTGAGCCCGCTCTTGATGGGTTGGAAGCGTCATAGCGAATTCACGCCGATTTTGCCATACGGACGTCCCTGGCGCGCGCTCTTGAAGGCCTCATCCTGGGATGGTGCTCGCCAGCGTGAGTTCATACAGTGCTGCGAGCTGGCCTAAGGCCGGACCTTACGACGGTCCAGCGCTGGGCAGCGTGATGGCTCTTACTCGAGGCGCGACATGAGTGTACGAGGACCTCAACGTCTCGGTTTGGCGAACCAGCATGAGGAGAGGAGCCGCTGTAGCTCCTCCCTGCAGCTTGCGCGTCGCGGTTTGGCCGACGTCCCATCCACCGCGCATACTGCGGCGGCTCTCCAGCTCAAGAAGGCTGCGCTCGACCACCACATCGCCCGAGTCAGTGGTCCGGACGCCCCGCTGAGCCTCGCGCCGCAGTGCAGCCAGTTTGCGCGGCCGTGATGCGCGAACCGAACCGGTGCGATGTTGTTCGGCACTCTAGATGGCCTGAACATGCTTGCGTTCAAGTCTTGAGGTCTGCGCTTAAACTTGAAAATTTAATAAAATCGGGTCCGACCGGCCTACCAAGAGCCTAGGTAGGTGCGGATCGGCAAGAGCGCAATCGATCTTTTTGCCCTCTATCACCTTGGGTTGTAAGAACTTGAAACACACCACGCAGGGGCACAGCAAGCACGGATAGCCGTTGAGGAGAAAGGGCGTAAGGTGTATGCGCAGCCACGGCCGTGCCGCGGTGGGCGCGCCACCTCCCGCGAGCGCGGCGGGATCGGAATTGCGGCCGGAGGGAAGGGCGAGCCGCCGCCGCCGCCGCCATATACCATCAGCGACGACGACCGCGGCTCGCCCCAAACGACAGGCGCTGGATCGGCAGTAGGGCTTGGGCGGCGCAGCGTAGGCCTCGAGCCACACGAATCGCCGACAACCCCCCCTCATCGACGTGATGGCCGCACCCGCTGCCGGCCGATGCAAGCTGCCGCCTCCACCGCACCAGCGATACTGGCCGCGGCTCGCCGCCACGCGCCGGCTCGGAAGAGGGGCTATCGGCGGCGCAGCAGAGCGGCACGCCTCGTCATTCGAGCAGCACCAGCCCCCCTCTTCGACGTGACGGCCGCTCTCGGAGCCGGCCGGTGCGCGCCCGACCCACGCCCCCTCTCGCCCCCCCCGATCCCCCTGCGCGGCGCCCCCTCCACTGCGCGCCGGCTCGAGCGCCTATTGCCAAATCGCGACTTTCGAGCGCAGTGCACGCGCCCCACACGTCACGCGAGCGCAGGAGAGTTTGCGGCAGAGCAGTACCGTGTACTAGCCGGAGGCATCGCGCCGAAAACCCCGCGCATTCCGCCCCAACAGAGGCTGCAGGAGGCAGATGGCCAATAGCTGTCGTTTAGCGACCATCGTTACGAAATGTTGCGTTACCGGGAGCTCTCCAAGCTGTCTTGGGTGGTATAGGTGCCCTTTACAGTGGGTTGCGGGCATTAAGAAAGCGTCGCAGCGCTGCTCGAGTGCGCACGACAAAGCAGCTCTGATGCAGCCATGGTGACCTGCGTGCGGGGACGGCAAGGGTCGCGCCGCAGCCCGTGCTCACCGGGGGCTCAGTCTCGATGGGGAGTGGGGGGAGAGAGAGAGCAGCCAGGCCCGCGTACCGGTAATGCGAGACGACATTGACAGTTGGAGCCGCCCGCGGCTTGCAGAGCGTTTGAGTGTTGTCGGGCTACGTGCGCATGTCGCGGGCGACGCCCGCTGCGTCCGCAGCTGACACGTCGTGGTGACGATGATGGCGAGGAGCATCACGGTGGAGAGGAGCGGCACGGCCCTGTTTGGGCTCGCTCGAGTTGCGGTCTCGGCGCGGCACGGCACGCGTTTTTCATTTATCAGGGCTTCCGAGGTGAACCTCGAAGAATATGCGAGCTTTTCAGAGTCAAGTCGTCAAGCGATTGCGCGAAATCCCACACTCCACACAGCACACACTGGTGGGTTTTGGGGCGCTGTGGGCCCCCTACCCCAGGGGCCCGATGTTTGCAGAGTGTGCAGAAAATACCCACCGCCCACTCCGAGGGAAACGCGAGAGGTTCACTCAAGGCTTGATGACCGGGGGTGACTCGTAGACAGGCCCCCGTCCCCCGTGCAGTGGAGGCCGCGCTGGAGCGACCGGCGCGGCACGCCGCAACACCGCTCGGCAAACCCCGCCGGTGACTGGTGCGGGCATGACCTCGCACAAAACGTCCTCGGCAGACGGCCCCGCCCTGCTGCTACTGCTGCCGCTACTGCTGCTGCTGCTGCTGCTGCTGCTGATGCTGCTGCTGCTGCTGCTGCTCCCCCTCCGCCGGCGATGGGTCGAGCCGCTGCCGTTTCCTC